AGTGCTTAGGAGGGAGGGGCTCAGAAGGTAGAGCGCAGCTGGGTCCGGCCAGGGACAGCCTGCAGCATGGCCTGGAGCGTGGGAGGCCTGCACAGGGGCCAGGCGAGCGGGGCCCAGCAGTGGGGTCTGTGGAGGGAGAGCTGCCGCGGACTCGGGGCTGCCATCTGTCCACTGCGTGAAGGTACAGACTCCCAGCCACCAGCGCCTGCCCAGCACCCAGTGCTGCTCTTCCCTGGCCAGCTAAACCCACCTTGGGGTTCAGGGCTCAGCGGCTCCCCAGGCCTGTTTCTCCTTCTCCGTCTCCCTGGCCCCCAACCCAAGTCAGGGCTGCTCCCTCCACCCAGCTGCCGGTCCTTCGTGCTCTGCTCCTGCGTGTGCCCGGGGCTGGCTCCGTCGCTGGGGCGGGGGCGAAGCGGCACTAAGAGGTCCCTTCCTCCTGGAAGTGCTGGTGGGAGGCCTTGGACAGCAGCCCCTCTGCCTTCCTGTACCAGGTGACACCCCGCAGGACCAGGAGGAGCTGGGCCTCAGCCGGCCGGAGATACTGTATCGATCTGGCTGTTGCCTTAATCACTAAATAGGCACGTTCCGGAGCCGCCTGGGGCTGTCATTGCGAAACACCAGAACACAATTCCAGACTGTCTTAGACCAGACAGGATCCGGGATAAGCAGTGCTAGTCTGGGGAGTTGCCACCAAACGTGCTCTATGGGCCAAAGCCGTACTGGAAGCAGACATGGGGATGGTCTCCCGGAGCCCCACGGAGCCCAGCCTGAGGACAGGCGGCACCCGCGCCGGCTGGCTCCGGGTGCATTCCTGGGCACCAGAAGCCAGGATTGTTCTGGAACCAAAGCCCCAGAGGCCCCAGCTCTGTCTCTTGCCTGGTACACATCCTGCTGGGTCTACTTCTCAGAAATGACGGGGCGCATGCCTCGCTCTGGCCCTCGGGGCCGGCCGTGCTGGGAAGGGGCCTCGGTGGGGCGGGCTCAGGGCTGCCTGGGGGCCCCGCGGATGGGACACAGAGGCGCCAGCAGGCACGGCCTGGGGTGGTGAGCCCTCTGAGGCCTGCGGAGGGTCCCTGGAGAAGGGCCTGAAGGCTGAGCAGGCCAGGGCGGGCATGGGTGCAGAAGTGTCCCAGGTGGTGGGAACAGCAGGCTCCTGCAGGGCAGGGGGGCCGGCCAGGCCATGCCACCAGCCGAAGACAGAGCCCCTGCCCAGACTCCTTCCAGCTCACATGTCTACCAGGACCTCCAAGAAGCTGTCCTTTACCTCGTGAGGCTGAGCCCTGGTGCCAGGGCCATGGGAGGACTCGAGCACAGATGTCTGTCCACAGGGGCTGCCCCCCGCCCTGACTGGGTGGTGGGTGCCTGGCTAGGTCCTCCCAGACCAGCGGGCAGCACACGTCATGCTCGGCCATCGCCAGGTTCTTTTTGGGGCTGAGGAGTCTAAGGTCAGTGGCCAGAAGGAATACCCTCTTCCCCATTTCAACATTCGACCTTCCTGCACGGGGGTCTGAAGCATCCTCAGGGGCCAAGGAAACCACGGGTCAAGGTCCCTGTGAGGGGGTTGAAGTTCAGGGGAACTCCATCCTCTCTTCTGCCTCAAGGGCCCCAAAGCCCTTTGCCAAAACTGCCGGACTCACAGCTCAGCTTTCTCACCTGTAAAGTGGACACGTTCACCCCTTGTCATGTTGCCCTGAGAAGTAAAAATGATAAGGACATGAGGACCTCACAGAGGTCTTGGCTCCTGGAAGACCTTTGGCCTCGGAGGACACGTGGTGAGCAGGTCAGGGCCCCAGTGTGTCTCTGAGGTGACGATCTGGTGACCTCCCCTTCTGCGTGAAGGTGTCCTGTTTGCACAGGTGGCCTGGCCCGTGCATCCTGTGCTGGCTCCGAGGAGCCCGGGCGGGTCCGTGAACAAGCCCTGCAGAGCGCAGGTCAGAGCCCGGCGGGTGACGTTCTTCCAGAGTCGTCTGGGTCAGAGGATGTATGTCAAAATTCAGCCAATGTGTGACCTCTGATTTATTATTACAGCTTTCTCCTGGGAATGAAGGGTTCTCTGAGAACACGCTGGGGCTGGGTCTCTCCTAGGTGACCAGGGGAGGCAGGCTGGGAGGGGAGGGTGGGGCAGGTTCCGGTCCAACCATGCCCCAGGCTTGCCCTGTGGCACAGGCAGCTCACCTTCCACAGGGCTCCTGCAGACTCTCCGGGGCACCCACTTTCCAGGCCCTGGAGAGGGGGTCAGGAGCAGGGTGCCCCCCAGATCTGCGGGGGAGGCCCTCATTGTGTCGCTGGTAACAGTAGGGGTGACTCAGGACTCCGCAGCAGGTCTATTTTGACTCTCCCAGGCCCCTCTTCTCTCTTTCTGTCCTCATCCGGGGCCACTTCTGGTCTGTTTCGAGAAAAGCCTGGCTAATGACAGGACCACACTCTCGGGCTGAACCTCCCTGGGACTCCGAGCTCTCTCGAGCGCTGGACACTGCCCTTCAGTGGGGTGCAGGGCTCGAGGTGGGCACAAAGGAAGGGAAAACCATTGTTCTATGTTTTGGGGAAAAGTGCTCAAACATCTCCGACATTTTCCCTGGGTTTTGTGGTAACTGCAACAGCAGCGTTGAGTTCCTGCACCACCCTTTAGTCCAGGGGACAGCTCTCCTCGTCCTCCAACCCACCTCTACCCGAGCCTGAAGCCATCATTTTGAGATTGCAGGACCCGTGACGCAGCCCATGGGGAGTCGAGTGTGACAGGGCCAGAGCTCCCGAGTCACAATAGGACCGCACGCGGCACGGACAACGGGAAACCAGGAGCTGTCGGCATTAGGCTCCCTTGACCGAGGCTGCGGGAACCTTGACCTCAGTCTGGAAATAGTTTTTCCTGGGGGCTGGCTCTTGAGATTGCGTGACCAACTCCAGAACACCATTAGAGGTCCCCTCGGGGGCTCCATCTGGGCTTTGGGCTGAGCACTGAGACAGGTCGTGAGGCGGTGACTGCGGGACTGTGGGGCTCAGCTCGGTGACCCAGAACCAAGCGGCAGCCCTCGGAAGGACGTGACCTGGGCTCTGCGAGGCCGGCCAGTGAGGACAGCGTGTGTGTGTCCGCCCTGGGGAGACGGAATTAAAAGTCGTCGGCAGTCGGCAGCATCAAGATGACCTAGTTTCAGAGCAATGCTGTGCTTCCAACTCTGCAAAAGAAGAGCCTTCCTTGAACACTAAATATTCGCAAACTGCTGCTTTCCCATATTTATCTGCCCCGGGAGGAGACTGTGCAGGCGGCCACGGGACCGTGCAGCAGGAGGGTCCGTGGAGGCTGAGCTCGGCTGTTCCATTTCCCAGCCGGCGAGACACAGACAGGCTTCCTGCCGCTCTTGGCTCCTGGCAGAGATGCAGGAATGTCGGGGGGACTGTTGGGTTGAATTACTGTTTCCTTCCACCTACCCTGTAATTTCGGGGGTGTCTGATGCAGGGGAGCGCGCACCTCCGGCGTTACTCAGCAGCGGAAGGCACGCTTAAGAACGCGGCAGCCGGGTCGTGTCAGCCGTCGCTCAGGAACCCCGTCTCACACCCTCACTTCTTTGCCCAAATGTCAACTTCACAGGCGACTCCCCGAGACCTTGTAGAGTAGCAACGCTTCTCCCTGCTTTGTTGTCCTCCTAGAAGCGGGTGCTGGAGCCGTGTGCAGGCCCAGGTCTGCGCCCACACTCCAGTGTCCGCCCCAGGAATCTCTCCCCGGCTCAGGTCTGCGCCCACACTCCAGTGTCCGCCCCAGGAATCTCTCCCAGGGTCTGTGACCTTCAGCCTTGGCTCGCTCACTGGGGCCTAGCTTTCTGCCTGAACAGTGTCCAGAGCCCTCAGTCCAACAGCCATGATCAACCCTAAACGGCCCAGGAGAAGCAGCGCCTTCATGACAGGTTTGGGTGCCCGAGGACCTCAGGGTTCAGGAGGCTCCTGGTGCCACGTGAGGGCAGTGGGGCCCAGGCGGGCTGTAGGCCTGCCCGGAGACGTGGAGGGTTAGAGGGCAAGAGGACAGAGGCCCCCAGGACACTGGGGATGAGAGCAAAGGGTTTGCTTGTGGGGCTTGGGGCTCGACCCCACGTGGAGCTGGACCCTGGGTTTTGCATCCACGGGGGCTGCTCAGAACCTGAGAGTGTGACGGGGCACAGACGTGGGGGGAGGAGACCTGGGGGTAGAGACGAGGGCACAGCCAGACTCCCTGCCGGGGTTGAGAGGCACAGAGGGGACAGATGTGTGTGCAGGCTGGGGAGCCCCGTCTCCTAGGTGAGGAGAAGGCATCAGGTTCTGAACAGAGCTGGGAGCCCTGCAAGCTGTCCCTGTCCCCTCCGCGGGACGTCTGCTCTCAGCCGTCTTGTGACCATGAGAAAAGCAGTCATTTCCAAGGACCCCTTTCTCTGGGATTGGGGGGGGGGGCGCTGTCCGACTCCGTCCAGAAAGTCAGCAGAAGTAAGAGCTGCGGTTCCTCGCAGGCCTTGTGGGCCACCTCGGAGAGGCAGTGTCCCAGGGACCAGTCCTGGCCTGGGCCAGCTCCCCTCGAGTGCACCCATGACCCCTCAGGGCTACCGACCCCTCCCAGGAGACTCAGCAGGGGGGTTGTGTGTCCTGTCTCCAAGGCTCTGGGCCTCCTGGAAGGTCTTTGTTGGTTGGGCACAGCCTTCATGGGGGCCGCTGGGCCCTGGGGAAGCTGAGGGACTCGCCCATGCAGTTCTGTCTGTAGGTGGGGCTGCCCTGCTGGCCCCACAGGGCCCAGGAAGAGGGGGCTGCACGGTCCCCAGGACCCACTTGTTTGCCTTAGCCCAGCCCCCCACACCCTGCTTTGCACAGGAACCTGAGGTTGGCCTCCAGCCAGAGCCACGATGGACTCACTGGGGGTGACGTGGGTTCTGCAGGGGGCGCCCTGCAATGGTGGGGGCGGGGCTGGGGGCAGCTCCAGCAGGGGCTCGCGGCAGCACAGGCCTTCCTGCCACCTTAGCCGACTCCCTCTGTTTTTCCCGCAGTGAACTTCGACCACTTCCAGATCCTGAGGGCCATCGGGAAGGGCAGCTTCGGCAAGGTGAGGCAGCGCCCGGAGGCCAGAGCAGGGCCGTGGTGGTGGACGACGTCACTCGGCGGCCTGCTCCTGAGGGGCCAGCGCCCGGGGCTGCTGGGGAGGCTGTGAGGATGCTTCCCACCCAGCCTGCCAGGGCTGCTGGGGAGAGGGGCTGCCCCGAGCTCACAGGCACTGAGGTCTCCGCCCAGGATGCTGGGGCTCGAGGAGTTCAGCCCGGAGCTCCGAGTGCAGAGGGTCCAGCTGCCGGGCTCTGCGGGGCCGAGACCTTGACACCCACTTGCTCTCAGTGCTGATGTCACTGCCATGAAACTACGTCCTGGTTCTGGAGCAGGCACATCGCTCCACCCTCCTGTCCCGCTGGGCTCGGAGCCCATTACTCCCCTTTCTCTCTCTCTCTCTCTCTCTCTCTCTCTCTCTCGTTTTGTTAATCCTCACCTGAGGATATTTTCCCATTGATTTTTAGATAGGGAAGGGAGGGAGAGAGAGAGACATCCATGTGAGAGAAACATATCGATTGGTTGCCTCCTGCATGACCCTGCCTGGGGCTGGGGATCGAACCTGCAACCCAGGTATGTGCCCTTAACCGGGAATCGAACCCGTGACCCTTACGGTCCGTGAGCTGGTGCTCCAACCACTGATCCACACTGGCCAGGGCTGCTGTTTTCTCTTGAGCACACCTTCCTGGCTGCTGCCTTGAAATATCGAGAGACTGGGGGTAATTATAAGGCAGAGAGTTTAACAAGCTCTCGGCAAAGGTTAGAATGAGCTCCTGGACTTTGCCTGGATGGGTCTGTTGTAAATGAATCATTTTTGAGGGGACAGTTTCTTTTCAGTCACATAGGAGGAGGGCTTGGCAGATGAGCACCCCCCGCCAGCCCCCTCCCCCCCCTTCCCCCAAAACCATACAGCTGTCTGGAGCCTGTCTCTGAGCTCTGAGGGCCTTTGAGAGGGAATGCAGGGAACTTGAATGCTGCTGATGACCTCATTTCATCGTTTCACAAATGAGCTGCCTGAGGCCCCGAGGCCCCGGGTCATTAAAAACCGGAGAAAATCATCCCCTTTGCATGAATCCACTGAAATGCTCTCACCTGGACGGAGAGAATGTGCTAGCATCTCCGGGGTCGGGTGTCGGGAGGTAGCTGATGGACCTGTACTTTTGTCGACTGTGCAAAGACAGTTGAACAGAAGACGTGGTTCCAAAGTTGGTGAGAGTGTGCTCGTGATGACGTCACAGAAGTCAAAGCCCCGGTGCCCCGTCCCCCAAACATAGCCGTTCTCTTCTGCCCCCCATGCCGATTCCGGCTTGTCATCTGTGTATTGTTTACATTAAATAGCGCGATGTGGCATCTCTGCTTGGCATTATGGAAACTGTCACACATCCTTAAAAGTCTTCGTGGCCGTGGGATACGTCATGGAGCTTACTTGCTCGTGTCCATAAGGTTGTTGGATGTTCAGGCTGTTGGACAGTCTTGTAAATAACACCGATGAACATCTTTGGAAGGAAGCACCTTCATTTCCCAAGATGCTCTCCTAGGCGAGGGGAGTTGGGTTTCACCGACAGGTTGGATCCAGCAGGTTTGGCTGGAGACACTGATGCCGCCCATTGAGGTGTCTGGTCTGTTCCAGGCCATCTGCCTTTGGGCGAGTCACTTGGGACCTGGAGTTCCAGAATCTTCCACTTCCCCTGGCTCCTGCTCCTTGAAGACATGGAGAACGGAGGCTGTGGGGACCCTAACACGTGGTTCTGGGTCACCTGACCTTGCGAGGTCTCTCCACAACTTGCATGGGAGACACGGCACTGTCTGTGCGGCCCACGACTTCATGCATTAATCCTGGTTCCCAGTGGGGACCCTTGTCCCTGATCTGATTGAATTTCCTTGGCCACGAGGGAGCCAAGCCCGAGTTTCTCATAGTCCTCTCCTCACCCTGATCCGCTCTGCTGACCAATCGTGTGAGCAGTGCCAGCCTCGCTCGAGGAGACCCAAGAGCTGGGCGCGACCCTGTCCTTCAGGGGGGTGGGATTCGAGAACAGCAGCTGTCTTGCACAGGGGCTTCCTGGGTGCAGGGCTCTGGCTAGGGGGCCTCTCGTTCATTCCCCAACAACCCTCCAAGCCAGTTGCTGCTCTGAGCTCTGGGAAGGGGCCCCAGGGTTGAGGTCATGGCTGGTTCAGGGCAGGGGCACAGCGCAGGCCTGTGGGCCCTCACCTGCCATGCTCTGGGCGGGGTCCTGCCTGTTCTCGGGAGGCACCTGGGCACAAAAGACGCGTCCCTCCAGAGACTTCTATCCGGTCACGTCAGAGTCGAGCCTGCAGCACAGCGGCAGTGGGTCGTGGGTCCGACAATGGGAGAGCCTGGCGTGCACAGCGGGCGGGGTCGGGCGGCCATGCCGACGCACCTGTGCCCTCCAGGTGTGCATCGTGCAGAAGCGGGACACGGAGAAGATGTACGCCATGAAGTACATGAGTAAGCACCAGTGCATCGAGAGGGACGAGGTCCGGAATGTGTTCCGGGAGCTGGAGATCCTGCAGGAGATCGAGCACGTCTTCCTGGTGAATCTCTGGTGAGCCCACCCCAGCCTCGAGCAGACTGCTGACCCTGCCCCCTCCCGCCCTGGCGCCAGGCTGCCGCTCTCCTGACCTAGGACACCTGGCACCCCAGCCTCCTCCCGCTCCCCGTCCACTCAGTCCCCGGCTGTTCTGAGAGTCTCCCCCACCTACAGGGAGCCTGGGCTTTCCCACAGAATAGGCCTGTGACCCATGGAGTTTCTGGCAATAAGTCAGTGGGGGGAGTTTGGGGGCCTGACTGAGTTTCCCCCACAAAATGGTGGGGACCTACTGGCCACAGTGGGTCACCTTCTTCCTCCCTGGGAGTGCCCCTGAATTCCCCAACAGCTTCCTCGGGGGGGGTCTGTGCTCCCTAACGCGCTCACAGATGGGGCACAGATCCCAAGGGCCCCGGGCCCCGGGTGCTCACAGAGCTGGAGAGGCAGGACCCGGCTCCTGTGGAGCCCGGGGGTGGGGGTGACCCAGCCATGCATGTGCCAGGTGCTCCCCCGGGCCCACAGGTACTCCTTCCAGGACGAGGAGGACATGTTCATGGTGGTGGACCTGCTGCTGGGCGGGGACCTGCGCCACCACCTGCAGCAGAACGTCCAGTTCTCCGAGGACACCGTGCGGCTCTACGTCTGCGAGCTGGCGCTGGCCCTCGACTACCTGCGGAGTCAGCACATCATCCACAGGTGTGTGCACACCCGCCCAGGACTGGCTGCCGGGACACTGCACCAGCAGGGTGCCACCCTCCGCAGACCCTGCCCCGCAGCTCATAGCTGATGTCCACCTGGGGGGATCCCTCCCCAGGAGCCCCAGCTGGGGCGGGGCACACGGGGCCCGTGGATCTCGGGAACCCTGAACCGGGCTGCATCGGGGCGGCCTTCACCTGGTCTGTTTAACTGCAGGATCCCTGCCCGCCGTATGCCTGAGGAATTCAAACTAGTGTTCACATGAGCCCAAAGCAGATGAAATTAGGGAGATGAAGCTGCCACTTACAGGACGCAAATGAAAATAAAACCACTCTGTGGTTTATTATAGTCAAGTAGCTGTGATTTCAGTATGTCTGCCCCAGGGACCCTGTTATCTGGTCACACGTCAGACAACAAACGTTGAGTAAGCACCTGGAAGTTGGGCCTGCCTTGGGCCCTGTCCACAGTTCTGTGCAGTCGGGGCTCTGGGACCCGGTGTGCCTGGGGGTCCTGCCTCAGGGGTTCTGCTTTGTTCTCTGGGGCTCTGGCTCCCTGTGTCCAGTGCTGGGCTTTTCTCTGCTGTCTGTCTGGTACAGAAGGCGGGGCTGGAGGCAGCCTAGCGGCTACAGGATGGCTGGTCTGCCCAGCTCTGCCCTCATGTCCGCAGATGCGGAGGGAACCTTGGGCCTTTGAGTCTTGCCAGGGCCCATCTCGGGCCTCTTGGGCCTCTGTTGGCTGGGGGTCCCTCCGGGGAGCCCCGAGCCCTCCAGGGGTCACAGGGCAGGAGCAGTAGGCGCTCTCTCTGGTTTCTGCTCTTTCCGCAGAGACGTCAAGCCCGACAACATTCTGCTGGACGAGCAAGGTGAGCAGGGCTCCGGCCAGCGAGGGGACCAGCGCCTCTGCCCTCGGGCCACATCTCTGGGCCTCTGGACAGCCGTTCGTCCTCTCCTTGCAGGACACGCGCACTTGACCGACTTCAACATCGCCACCATCATAAGGGACGGGGAGAGGGCGACTGCGCTAGCCGGGACCAAACCGTACATGGGTGAGTGTGTCCCGCACCCCTGCCAGCCCGCGGGGCGGCACTTCCCTGCAGGCACACAGCCGTCCCTGTGAGGAACAGGTGCCTGATCCGGGGCCCGATCCGTGCAGAAACCCGGGCGGGGCACCCTCCAGGGTTGTGGTCCGACAGTGGGAGGGCCTGGCCTGCACAGCGGGCCGTGGGACCTACACCTGAAACAGGTGGTCTGTGGGGAAGGTGACGGCCGAGGGCGGCCTCCGGGTCAGCTCTGGTGGCAGCCTGGTCTCAGGCCCCAGCTCGAGGCACCAGCCCTGCAGCTCGTGGGTCAGGGGTGCTCAGCCTCTCCTTCCCTTTCTGGAAAGCTCCGGAGATCTTCCAGTCTTTCGTCAGCGGTGGGACCGGCTACTCCTTCGAGGTGGACTGGTGGTCGGTGGGGGTGATGGCCTATGAGCTGCTGCGTGGATGGGTACGGATCTCCTGGGCCTGCAGGCTCAGCCAGACCCTGAGCTGGCTGCGCCCCCCAGGGGCGGCCCTGGTGCCTTCGGGTGGGAGGAGGCTGCCCTCAGGTGCTCAGGGACATCTGCGCTCTCTGTGGGAGAGGACATGCTTTTGGCCACCCCCGTTCCGGGTGGGTGCACAATGCCCGGGCGAGTGCAGGAGGGGAGTCGCTGGGGTTTCTAGGGCAGCAGTGGGGCCTGTGATTGGCCTCTGGGCCTTGGGCCTGGAACTACCCTTCCCCATCCCCCGTGGGGGCCTCTGAGGGACCCCACCCCTGAGGAAGGCAGCCCCTCCTGGCCGTTGGGGACCCTTCCACCAGCCAGGACCTGGGGTAGATGTGCTCCCTTCCTGGCCTGACCAGCGACCTCTTCTGGTGGAGGCTCAGCTCGGCCCAGGCACCTGCTTCTGGCCGTTCCTGGGGGAGGCTGCGCTGCCCGGGGTGGGCACTGCTGGGCGCTCTGGGTCCCAGCACTGCCTCCTCTGCCCAGAGGCCCTACGACATCCACTCGAGCGACGCCGTGGAGTCCCTGGTGCAGCTGTTCAGCACTGTGAGTGTCCAGTACGTCCCTTCCTGGTCGAAGGAGATGGTGGCCCTGCTTCGGAAGGTGAGTCCCTCCCAGAGCGCAGGGCCCCAGGCCCGGGGGGCACCCACCAAGGGTGTGTGGAGTGGAGCCCCTGGTTCACAGGCAGCTGGTGTCCCTCCCCTGCAGTAACCCGGCCTGTCTGAGCACTGGCTGTGAGCTTGTGTAATCCTCACCACCTGGTCCCTGGACACGGGTTATCGCCCTGTCTCTCAGATGCCCAAACTGAGACAGAGAAGTTAGCCCTGTGCGGGTCTCGCATCATGCATGCCGGAGGGAGGTGGCGTGGGCCTGGGTGCCCGCCGCTGCACTCTGGCCCCTCTGCCCCCTCTGCCCCTGCTCCTCCTCCAACCCCACGAGCAAGCAGAGAGGACCCCGGAACCCCGTACGTCCCAGGGCCTGAGCGTGTCTGCAGCAGCCCAGGGCCCCCGGCCCGCAGGGACATGGGTGTGGTGCTGCCACCAGAGGCTGGGCCGTGGGCCCCACAGCCGCCACTCAGAGAGCCTCACTTTAGACGCTGGTGCTGCCCTGGCCAGTTTGGCTCAGCGGTTAGAGCGTCGGCCCATGGACCAAAGAGTCACAGGTTCGATTCTGGTCAAGGGCATGTACCTCGGTCACCGTTCTTCCCCGGCCCTGGTCTGGTTGTACAGGAGGCAACCAATCGATGTGTCTCTCTCACATCGATGTTTCTCTCTCCCCCTCCATTCCCCCACCCACTCTGTGTAAAGATAAGTGGAAAAAATATCCTCGGGTGAGGATTAAAAAAATAAATAAATAAAATAAAGACACTGGTGCCTTGGGACCCGGTGTGGGTGCCACGCTGAACTTGTGGGGCCCCGTGGCTCCTGGTCCTGAGTCCTGGCCTACAGGGTCCTCCTTGGTAGGCCCTGGCCCCTGCCTGGAGATGTTTGACCCTGGAACTGTAGCCAGGCAGCTAGAGGTCTCTCCAGGTCCCTAATGGAACCTCTTAACCTAGAATGCCCCACAGAATTCTGCCCACACCTGCCCAGATGCTTCACAGGTGGGACCTTGGCCCCCAGAAGCTGGAGTGGGGAGTGAGGTGATCCTTGGGCCAAGCCCCAGGCCTAGCGAAGCCTGGTATTCACACACACACACACACACACACACACACACACACCTTGGGGCCTCTGATGGGCATAGTTACTGTCCTCTGGCCGCCTGCAGTTAGCCAGGCCGAGGCTGCCACCTGCTGGTGAATCTCAGCAGAACATCCCTGCAGATCCCACGTGCCTTCTGCCTCCTTGGGCTCCAGGGTCTTAGCCAGACCACTCAGACCAAATTGTCCCCTTGGCTGAATCACTGTGCTGACCAGGTTGCTTGCCTGACCCTGAATTTCCTGAATTTCCAAACCTGAGGCCTTCTGGCGAGACCTGCACGGTGCCCTGGCCTGGGTAGGCTCTTCCCCCAGCAAGTGCTGGGCCCAGTTCTGCAGGGCCTTGGTCCGGGCACTGTCTGACGTGGGCCTTGTTCCAGCTCCTCACTGTGAACCCCAAGCACCGTGTCTCCAGCCTCCAGGACATGAAGGCGACCCCATCACTGGCCAATGTGCTGTGGGACGACCTGAGCAAGAAGAAGGTGCAGCCGGGTTTTGTGCCCAATGTAAGCCTGCAGGATGGCCTGGGCAGAGGTTCCAGGGTGGCTGGGAGGCCCCCGTGGGTGAGCTCAGCACCCTTCCCCTCCGCAGAAAGGCCGCCTGCACTGTGACCCCACGTTCGAGCTGGAGGAGATGATCCTGGAGTCCAGGCCCCTGCACAAGAAGAAGAAGCGGCTGGCCAAGAACAGGTCCCGGGACAGCAGCAGGGACAGCTCCCAGTCCGTGAGTGCAGGGCTCACGGGTGGCCCTCTTCACACTTCACAGCACCCCGACACCCCCTGGGAGGATGCACCTCGAACGTCCCAAAGTCCCGAGACCTTCCTCCGCCTTTCCCAGCCCAGTCCCATCTCCTGTTCCTGAGTCCTGCAGCTCCTGGGAGCCCCTCACTTCCTCCCTGAGCCTCTGGCTTCCCTTCTGAGCCGCTCACTTCCCCTCTGAGCCCCTCATTTCCCCTCTGAGCCCCTCACTTCCCCTCTGAGCCCCTCACTTCCCCTCTGAGCCCCTCACTTCCTCTCTGAGCCCCTCACTTCCTCTCTGAGCCCCTCATTTCCTCTCTGAGCCCCTCATTTCTTTCTTGGAATAGAATGAGAACCCACTCCAGGGGCTCTTGCTCGGGCACTAGACTCCAAGTCTTGGGGGGATGCCCTCACGGCAAGACTCTCCTTCTCCAGCACGTGGCTCGCACCCCACCCCTGTCCACAGCCTCCAACCACGCCCAGTGCCTCAGCACAGCAGGTGCAGCGCCTCCCCACTCTGCCACACTGCCAGCGACTGGTTGTTCTGCAGCCCCGAGGGAGGCAGAGCATATCCTGAGGCGAATACTGCCTTTCAAGGCCTCTGTGTGGTTGCAGCCCTGCAGGTCTGCAGGACGGGGGTGGGGGCTGCTCTTCTCCAGCAGGGGAGGAGCCCTCTCTGCAGGCGTGTCAGGCTGCCCACGTTCATCCGTGGAGCCGGCCCCTCCTGGTTCTCTGAGCCCAGGGCCTCCCACATCAGGGCCTTGGCTCTGGTGCAGGAACTTCCCAAGCCTGGTAGCCCAGCCCCCACTGAAATCCTGCTGCTCCCTGTGGCTGAGCCCGTCGCTTGCTCATGCATCCCCGGTGCCCGACAGTGACCAGGCAGACCCACGGTCCGTGTGACTACGCCTTCCCCATCTGTCCCCAGCACCAGAGCTGCAGGAGTGGTCAGCACAACCGTCCGCTTGCACCCTCCCAGCTCACATTCGACATGGCTTCATTTGTCTGGCTAGTGTGGGACCCAACTCAAGCCCTGTCCTGAGTGCTTCTCAGAGCAGCCTCTGACCTTCTTAGGGCAGGTTCTCAAAGCAGACCCTGACGTGGAATTTGTGCCTGAGCGATAAATGCCCCGGAGGACCCAGGGGGATGTGGGGGAGGGGAGGGAGCCAGGTCAAGTTTGGTCACATAGACCTTGCCTTCCGTGTCTGCATCCACCCTGAGGCAGGCAGCTGGGCTTCTTACAGAAAATCCTTCGGTTACTGGCTGAGTCACCTGGGAGGTGCAAACTCCCAGGCGCTTGGCCTCCTGGGGGTGTAGTTCAGGCTTTGGAGAAAGACACAGGTGCAGGCCACGGGAGGACAAGCAGACCAGGGTGGAAGGGATCCCACCTAAGGGGATGTAAGGCAACCTGCTGACATTCTCTACTCATTCTGACTAACAGGAGAATGACTACCTTCAGGACTGCCTTGATGCGATCCAGCAAGACTTTGTGATTTTTAACAGAGAAAAGTGAGTGTGTGTCCGTGGGGGTGATGGGCGCAGAGAAGAGTTTGGGGAAGTGGACCAGAGTTTTCATGGCCACACAAGTCCTGAGCCCAGCAGCCACATGACATCAGTGGGCCTGGGGAGCCTGGCCCTGTCCTCCTGGGGGTCCGAGCATTGGCCCTGCAGGGAGAGGGTGGGAGGGGCTCCTCCACCACTTTTAGTCCTAAACTGGGGCCTATGGCCAGACACTCAGTGGGCTTTCCAGATGAGGGCTGGTGGTTCCCACACATCAATTCCCTCCATCAGTCATTCACTTGTTCAGCAAATGCTGAGTGCCAGGTATGTGGAACAGAAAGAGCATGGCTGGCTGGCAGGGAGATACAACAGGCCACAAATGGCTGCAACACCTCCACAGTGGAGAGAAAGCCCAGTGCTGTGGAGCCCAAGGGGAGGAGTAGCAGGGTGAGGCATGGAGGGCTTCCTGGAGGAGGTGGCTCTGAGCTCTGGCCAGGAAAGTGAACAGGATTGGCCAGTGCTCTCTCCTGCTTCAGTGACCAGAATGACATGTGAGTATTGGTTTAGGACACTGACCACCTTCCTAGAGGTGAGCAGCCTGGGTAAGAATGGGACTTGGCCAAGCTTTCTGAAAAGCCCTGTTCCAAAACTGCTGTCCCCAGAACTTGCCTTAAGTGAGGCCTCCTTTCAGCTTCCGGCGGGAAATGAACAGAGACTCACCAGCCCTGCTGCTCCCGGCCCCAAGGCCCACAGTCAGCCGTGCTGCTGGGCCGAGTCCCTAACCTGCCTGGCCTGTGACCTGCCCCACAGCCACCGTCGGCTCCCTGCTGGGCCAGCCTGTCCAGGAGATGCTGGCACCCGGGGCATGTTCGGGGCCCCTGTGCCAGGCACACGTTCTGGGGTGCTCAGACATGCTGTCCCTGGGCTGCAGGTGAAGCTGGACTCAGCCCCTCCCTGTGCTTCCCCACCAGGCTGAAGAGGAGCCAGGACCCCACGAGGGAGGCCCTGTCCACTCCCGAGGCCGGGGATGCGGACGGCGAGGCCTTGGTGGACGGCGAGGAGGCGAGCGCGGCCCTGCCCGCGTGTGGCTCCATCTGCCCCTCGGCAGGGAGCAGCTAGGAACCTGCTGGCCCTGGGAAGGTAATTCAGGCTGCACTGGGGACTCGGGTCGCCGGAGGGACAGGGCACCCGGCAGGGGAGGCCCAGTGTCGACGTTCCCACTGAGCAGCCCCTCGTCCACGCACAGCACAGGCCGGCGGCTCTGCTTCTGGCCCCTTCCACCGGCGCAGCCTGACCCCGAGCTGCCGTTGGGCTCTCAGGCGGACATGGCGACGGGAGGCTGTTCGTGTGGCCAAGTGGTGGGCAAGGAGTGTGGTGCCGCCCGGACACTGATTACATGTGATGGTGACCCTGGTGGCCTCCAGACCCATCTGCTGGCAGGTCAGAGGCCAGACACTCTCATCTCTCACCACCTCTCGGCTGTACATAGGCCTGGCCTGCCGGACCTGCCACCAGCTGCCCGACATCTGTGAGCTTGCTACCCGGAGCTTGGGGGTAGCCCAGGGCCCATGGTTCTTGTACATCCAGGGGGAGGGTTGTGGGTGGAAAGGCGAGGATGTTTCCTAAATACAGACTGTTCCGGCACTTTCCGCAGTGTTTCTGTGTATTCCCCCCTCTAAGGATCACAGCAGACCTGTCCACAGTGTTTCCCGTGTCTGTGCCTGCCGAGTGGCCGTGCTGTTCACAGGGCGCGTTTGTCCAGGAGTCAGGCGGCTCCTGCTGGGCAGAGCCTGGGCCGCCCAGTCCCGCCTCCCTGGGGTGGGTGCCCGCCTCCACCCAGGACCAGAGGCTGTGGCTGGGGGGCCTGCTGGGCAGTGGGAGGACAAGGGCCACGGCCACCTGTCCTGGAGGTGGCCGAGTCAGCGGAGGCGCACAGCACGGAGGTCTCACCGCCCCTTGCTGGGCTGCAGGAACTGCTGTCAGCACAGCTGGGTGTGCCCACGCTGGGGACTTGGGCCCAGCCACCCCAGGGGAGCTAGGGTCCAGAGGCGGGCAACCACGCAGGCCGTCCCTGGGTGGGACAGACCCCAAAGCTCTATTCGGAGACCTGGTGATATCAGAGGCAGGAAGGGGGAGGGAGGTCTGGATTTTGTATAAACAAGTGAATCTATATGCCTTTCTGAGATCCCAGGGGACAGGGAGGCTGTGTTCCCTTGTAGGTGGCAGGGATGAGGGTGTCTGGCTCCATGTCACCCAGTCTCTCAGCGGGGGAGGGGACACAGTGCAGTGGACGTCAGCCTCGGTGGAGCCCCAGGAATCAGCACAGAGGCTCCACTGACCAAACAACTCAGCCAGAGGAAGCCCCGGGAACTCGGAGGGACCAGCAGGACAGACGGGGGCTGCCCAGGCCCAACCTGACCTTCCCGGCTTGTCTTCCCTGTGACCATGACCATCCTGCTCGGGGGGTACGGGGAGGAAGTCACCCCTTCTGGGAGCGTTCCGTGCCTGGGGTATAGAACTAGAACCATTTTTATGAGAAAGAGGCTGAGGCCAGGAGGCCGGCCCAACACTTCCTTCTTCTGGAAGGTTCTGGGCAGCCTAGTCTCAGGGTTTGGATCGGAACCCTGGGCTGCTGTGCCTTGAGGGGCATGGCCCAGGCATGTCTGGGGGGGGGGACCCGCTGGAGGTGTGCACTCGCGGCCATGCAGCCCCCAGCCTTCTGCTTGTGGCTGGCCCGTCTGCTCAGAGTGGGCACAGGTTCCTCCAGTCCAGCCCGGTCCCTCTGGCCCTCTGGCCCTCTGGCTGTCCCTGACCTGCCGGCCTGGGCTCAGGAGCACCATCTCCAGGCCCCCTTTCCCAGGGGAAGTCCGTCCCCACCACTCAGACCCAGCCCTGCCCCTTCCCAGCCAGGCTGAAGCTCTGTCCCTGTGCGTGGCCCCGAGGTCCACCTTTGCAGCTGGCACAATGCCAGACGAGGGGCCAGCAGGGGGATCCCGGGGTCGGCGCATCACCCACGCATGGGGGGATGGTGCAGGGGCAGAGAAGTTGGGGTAGCTTCCAAGCCAGGCAGGCCTTTAATTGAGCCAGTCCCCACCGGACTGGCGACAGCGCCCAGTCGGAGCTGTGGCGGCATGCAGAGTCCTGGCTGCAGCCGTCCTCGCCGCACAAAACCGCTGCTCTAATACACTACTGGGATGCACAGTTAGTAACAAGGAGGGCACCCTAGCTAAAGGTCCTAAACTTGCCCTGGAGACGGGCGACTACGCAGGCGGAGGCTTGGTCCTTGGCAGAGTGTGTAAACGCAGCTGCGAAACCGCACCGTGCTGTTCCCAGCGCGTCCCTGAAGTCCCAGCAGCCCTGACGGGGCTCCGCTCACGGGGTGCTGCTCCCTGCGCTGGGGCGGGCTGGGGCCGTGGACACAGGCTGCAGCGCCGCAGGGGGGCGGGGCAGAGCCGGGCTGCGAGGGGCAGCGGGCACATAGGGAGGAGGGCAAACCCCACCCCTTCAGCCTGCGTGTTGTCGGGCCCCGGGGTTCCCACAGCCCTGGTGGGGCAGCAGCCCTGCCTCCTTGAGGCACCTCGCACCCAGGCCCAGGCGACCTGAGCTGCCCCTGGCAGTGATACCTCCCCAGATTCAGCCCTCATAACAGGACTTGGGACCCCCCAAAACAAGTTTCTGGGGAGGGGAAGGGAAGGCCAAGCACCTTTCAATGTCAGTTCAACAAAGGGAAAGCTAACAGGGTGAGCGGTCTCCAGGCCGCCTGTCAGCACCAGCTTGCTCGCGCCCGGACCCGTGAGGTCTAGGACAGCGAGGTGATGTTGGAACGTCCACCAGGGGGCGCCATGATCTTCTGGGCTGTGCGTCTGGCAATGTGGTCATCTGCCTGAGATCCTGCAGGAAAGGTGGGGCGTGGGCATTGGGGGAGGGGGAAGACATGGCTGCATCCAAGGGCCAGGACTGCAGAGCTCCACCCACACCCGGGGTCCCTGACACCCCCCGATGGCCATGGCAGGGAGACCCGGCGACCGGGCAGGCGGTGCCGTCACTGAGGCCCTGGGTGCAGTGTTTACAGTAGGCAGGGAACTGGAGGTCAGGGTCAACCCTCTGGGAAGCCGGTCTGGAGCATAGGCGGTCCTGCCTCGTCCCTCCAGCGGGTCTCAGGCTGCCCTGCACACAGTCCCCGAGGTGGGAGAAGCCTATGTCCCTGGCTTTCAAGATGATATGGGCTTCAAAGGGGATCTTCAGTTGGCCCTGTGTCCCCAAGAGGTGAGCAGGGATTGCCATCACCTCCCCAAGAGGGAGCATGAGACAAGACATGAAGGGGCAGGTTAGCCTCATCCAAGGGTTGGGTCTGCCTCTGGCTTACAGGGGAGCCTGGGGCTCAGTGCTTCTGGAAGGTCTGTCACACAGCATGCTGGAGTGACCCTGACCAGAGGCTCGAGCCTACGGCCTGCACACTGGACTGCCTGAGCCCTCCGAGGCGCCGCCTGGCCCTGAAGACCCTTCCCCAGGCACCCCGCACATCGGGACGGGGCTGGCGCAGCTGAACTCCCGCACGGCACCTGAGCCCCGCGGAGGCTGGGCATGTCATGCTCACCCAGCCTCAGAGTGACAGCCCAGGAAGGGGCTTTCCTGGTGGGCCTCACAGCCCTGGACCCCTCACAGGGCAATGGTCTTCACCCACGGGCACAGGCTCAACTCACCAGACAAGCTGAACCCCGACTGGTGCAAGTTCCGCACAGGTGGCACTGAGATCTTCCCTGGACAGGACGCTCGGGCCTGGGCACCGCCCCCGGGCTTGGTGGGCACCATCACCTCGTGGACTGGCCCATCATAGAGGCCTCGGGGCACGCCGTGAATCTCCGCCAGCTGTGGGTCAAGGGAGCCAGGCATGAGGGTGCTGAGCCCCCGCAGCTGGAGGGCAGGGGGCTCCTGCCAAGAGCCTCACCACTCTACTCTGTGGGTCCCCCTAGCCGGGGCTCCCTGCCGACGGGGTGTCCATGCACGGACACGTGCCACCCCCCTCACCTGCACATGTGCACACACCCCCACACACCTGCATGTGTGCGCACACTCTCTCCCCCGAGGCGGTGGCTGTGCCCTGAGCTGCAGGAGAGCTGCTCAGACAAGGGCAGCCCCACAGAGGCTGCTGTTTGGAACCGGAAACCAGCCCCGACATAGTCTCTGCCTCCTTAGTACCTATCGTCCTGTGGCCCCAGCACGGCCCATGGGAATCCCTGAGATACAGTCCCTGGGTCCTGAAAATGAGCCCCAAAGTCAGAGACATGTCCCAGTAGTCACCGTGATGGACGAGTGGCCCATGGATCGAAGCAAAACCTTCAGCTGTGCATGTGCTTTGGCTGGTAGTGCCCCCAGGATGCGTGGATTCGATCCATGTCTGCAGGGCCTGAGCCCAGCCCTGGGGGCCTCCGGCCAGATCCTGCTCTGGGGGGTTCCTCTTAGGTGTCGAGTCACAAGGCCTGAATCCAGCCCTACCCCCTCACCTGTTTGCACCTCAGATGTCCTCTCTGTGCCTGGCGGCACGTGAGGCTGGGTCTGCGATCTCAGACTGTGCCCCAGACCCCGCTGCTTGGAGCACAGGGGTGATGGCGACACCTGGCCTGTGGCCTGGACACTGCCTCATGACCCACTCGGAGGAGCGTGCTGACGTCAGGGTTAGGTCCAGGAGCAGCTTCAGGTCCCTGACAGCCTGAGTTAGAGCAGGCGCCACACCTGCCCCAGGGGACGGCCCCCAGACGGCTCGCGCTCCGTGCGGACGTCCGTCCAGTGTGCCTGTGTGTGCATGCGTGTCCCTGCGGGAGCCACCTGCGCATGCGGCGCGGGGCCCGGGCTGGTACCGGGTGCACCCAGCAGACGCAGGGTAGTGAGGAGAGAAGGTGAAGACGAGGAAAAGTGTTCGTGACGTCCAAGTTCACAAGAACCGTTGTGGGAACTTCGCGCCCTACTCATTTCTCAGCGTGCGCACCTGCTCACAGAGAAACCCGGGAGGGTCCCTGCTTCTGTGTCAGCGGTTGTGTGTGTGGGAGGTGCCACTCGTGTCTCCCTCCCCTGTATCTGGGCTTTGCACAGAGGTGGGTCACTTGGGAAACAAAAGCCAGTGTCACTTCTAGGAGCCACCCGGGAGCAGGCCCACCTGCTTTCCTGACTGCTGGCCGGCGGCGCAGGGCTGATGGGGAGCAGAAGCCTTCTGGGCGTGTGGAAGGTTCCAGAACTCATGCCTCGCATGCCGGCGCAGGCCTTACCCTGTTGCGCGCCTTGATCCTCTTGTAGACGAAGTCCGGGAACGTCTTCCGAGGAATGAAGCGACCGGCCCCGGGAGTGGCGAACAGGTGTCCGTCCTCCAGGACCACCCTGCCCTGACTGATGACCACTGTGGGGGCTCCTCGGCACTCGACGCCTTCAAAAATGTTGTACTCCACATTCTGGGGAGACAGGGCCGAGAGTCCAGCAGCGCCCTCAAGACAGCCCTCGGGCTGACGGCGTCCCTGGGGGGCCTGCGTGCCTGTGCTGACCTTTGATAGAATGCAGTCAGCCTGGCTGGGCCAGCACCGGCAGGAACGGGCTGTACCTCCCGAGTCTGTCCCCGAGTCTCCTTTCTTAGGACAAAGGGCACATGGATGAGCCTGCACTAGGTAACTCGCGTGAGGCGGGCAGGCCTGTGACACTTTGTTGCAATCTCTAGACAGCTGTCCCGGCCACATGTCCCACTGAGATTGGCAGAGCTGCCCCCGAGAGCCATCCTGGAGCCCCCGGGAAGGTTGCCAGGCCCCAACCCCACCCTGACCCTGACTCGGGGACCTGGCTTCTCTCACCAGGTTGTGGCTCTTGGCTGAGATGATTTTCGTGGCCTTGGGGTTCCATATAACCAGGTCAGCGTCGGAGCCAACAGCCACCCGCCCCTTCCTTGGGTAAAAATTGAAGATTTTGGCTGCATTTGTACTGGTCACAGCAACGAACTCATTCTCATCCATCTTCCCCGAGGCCTGGGAAGCAAGAAGGCGAGCTGAGGGGTCTGGGCTCCATGGGGGCCCTGCCCCAGGCAGCGAGCAGCACCGCCTGCACCCCCAGGGCATGGGAGTCCGCAGGTCCGTCGCAGCAGCAGCCTCACCCTCCTGTGCTCAGCGCCTGTTCTCTGTGCTCTTTGTGGGGAAATAAATGGAGGAGCCTCCACCAGGTCTGTGTCCCCTGAGGGACATGACCATTTCCCTGGGCGGCCAGGAGGCCAAGGCAGGGGGGCGGGGGGTGGGGCCGGGGTCTGGGCCTCGGCCCAGGGAAGGGCTAGGGTTGGGGGACAGGGGACAGAGGACTCTGGGCAGGGCTTTCCGAGTGAGGAGGAAGTCGGAGATCGCAGGCGCCCTGGGGAGACCTCGGGCACCGCAGGGCATGATGCCGCTGGGAAGAGGTGCCCTCGCTCCCAGCCGTGTGCACAGATGGGACGTGACAATCAGAGGAGGGCCTGGCTGCCCGTGGCTGAGGGCGTGTCCTCCAGGACGAGCCCTGGCCGGGGCTGGGGTGGACACACTGGGCGCACACTCGACTCTTCCACGCTGTTTCCTGTGCTCCCCACTGTGACGGACCAGAGGCAGCCTGCTCTGGGCAGGGCGGACGGTGCCGGCCCTTGGACTCACCACGCACTTCTCCCAGACCACCGACATGCGCTCCTCCACACCGTTGGTACCCTCAGGGATGAGGGTGAAGTTGTCTTTGCCGACAGCCTTCTGGGCAGTGGTGAAGGTGCAGTGGGCACTGCCGGTCACCTGGAGGTCCCCGCTGAGAACAAGGGGGTCAGGGGAGCCCAGAGGGGCCTGGCCTTCCTGAGCCAGCCAAGGCCGCTCGGTCTCACCCCCAGAAGGGCCAGCCCACCCACAGGGCCAGTCTTTGAGGGCAGCACTGGGCAGATCAGGATGGACGCTCTGATGGGAGGTGTGGCCCAGGGTTTGAGGGAGAAGCCTGGGGCTGCCAGCAGGCCCAGGGCAGGCCTGGCGTGGAACACGCAGGAGTTCTGCGCAGCTCCTCACCTGGACAGCAGGGCGGTGAGGTGGTCTGCGGTGCTGAGGTCCGGGTTGATGGGGGGCGAGGTGACGAAAGCCGCAGCCTTAGCCCAGTTCTTGCTCCAGTAATGGGAGCCGTCAGTGCCCAGGCTGGCGGTGATGGGCTCCCCGAACACGACCACCCCTGCAGCGAGGCCCGTTGAGAGGCACCCACTGGCCTGCGTGGCCCCCAGGACCCCAGTAGGGTGGAGGCCTGGGCTCCGCACGGCCCTTCAATGTCCTGACCCTGCACAGCTTGTCCCCTCCTCTGGGCACCTGACACTGGGCAGACGGGGTCCTTTCCATACCCGCTGGGCACTCTACTGGGCTACAGGCTGGACTGAGATCCCATCAGTTCCCAGGTTTTTCTGTTTACCCCCTGCCTCCAGCTGTGTGGGTGCTCCGTGGGCAGAGAGCACCCCCGCTCTCAGGACGTGCGCCCCAGCTCCTGGGTGCACCAGCGAGCAGTAGTGTGGGGTCAGCTGGGCAGGGCTCCGTTGCACATAGAGTCAGGCTCCCTGCCTGGCCTTCGCAGCACGGTCCTGTCACTCACTGTTTGCTTTCAGGGCCTCTGGTGGGCAGCTGCTGCTCCAGCAAGATGGGAGCCTCCCCGTCCATTCAGACAGGGACTGGCACCTCCATGTCCCGCAGGCCACAACCCGGAGGCCCCAGCCGAGGCCCCTCGATGCGGCCGGACGGGGCGGCAGGCTGCTTCTCAGCTGTACCTGCCCCACCCCGAGCCTCCGGGAAGCCAGCCAAGCCCCAGGAGGCCGAGAACGGGACGCCGGACCCCGCACCAGCGTCCAGGCATAGCACTCACCCCTGCGCTTGGCCCGGGCCACCACGTCGGCTGCTCCCTTGCTCATCACCTTGGTGACATACAGGGGGCAGTTGGCCTGCTTAGCAATGGTGACAGCTCGGTACACGGCCTCGGCCTCCACCTGGGGACAGGGACACTCGGCCGTGTGAGGGTCCTGGGGCTTCCTGACCAGGATGGGCACAGCATGCCCGTGATCACATGCAGACCCTGGACCCAGACAGGGTACCCCTGGGTGGGTGAGGACCCCAGCCTGGGGCTTGGTGCCCGGGATCGGGGCTGGCTCATGCAGTTCCCAGGGTCTGCCTGTGCCGCCTTCTCAGCCTTGAGTACTGAGCTCAGAGTGACCGGTGGTCACAGGGGACATGTGCCTGGTAGAGGAACAGGTGAGGGCAGTGTGACCACAACCCTGCCTGGGCCATGGAGCCAGGACCCACCCCCAGAGGAAGGCAGCGTCTGGGGTGCAGTCAGTGCGGGGTGCCCTCCGTGGGCACAGCGCCTACCTCCTCGGGGTGGCTGAGCACGTGGCCCTCGGGGCCGGTGATGCCGAGCTCCAGCAACCGCTTCTGCTCCTAAAGAATCCAGAAGGTGCCATGTTCCAGCCCAGGAGCACCAGAGCCTGGGAGCCTCAGCCAGGGCGTGCGGTCCCCGCCTATGGACCGTGCTCCCCGAGCTGAGTCCGGGCTCCCCGGCATCACCAGCCACAGAGAAGTCAGATGCAGGAGGGCAGTGACTGCAGCTCCCTGCACTACAGATGAGGGAATGGGGCTGAGGGACGGGGGACCGCCACCATCACGGCGACCTGATGACGGGCTGGGAAACCCCACATGCTTGCCTGCCACGCTGGGGGCACACTGGGCACTGCGCAGGCGGGGCGGGCGGACCTGCCCCCAGGCCCCAGAGGAGCCCTGAACCGCCCAGGTGTCCCACAGCACCTGCACCTGAGGGGTTCCCAGGGTGAGAAAAGTCAAGCGCAAGGCCCAGAGGACGTGGGCGCCCACCTCAGCCCTGGGCCTGAGGGAAGACAGGTGGGCTCGGCCCCACCCGGGGGTGACTGGAGGAGGCGCTGGCCCCACACATGCACCCACTGGTCAGAAGGGAAACATGGCCCAGAACCCTCAGTCTCAGTCACTTCCCACATAGCAGCCTTTGGGTTTGGGGGAACTTTTGGTCAGTGTGATGTCCATGGAAAAATCTGTTGCAGTAAAACGTCCTCCCGGGCCCTCTAACTCCCTGCTTGCTTGACCTTTGACCCTGGGCAAACTACTTACTAAATATGTTCAACAGTCCCTCCCTCAGGGTGTGTGGGTTTAAGTGGGCACATCCTGGCATCCAGGGGTCACCCTGCCCTCCAGCCCCCGCCTCGCCCCAGGCGGCGCGCCCCACCTCCTCCACGATGTCCCCGTTCTCTGCGTGCACTTGGGCCAGGGCTCCCAGGTCCCGGATGATGCTGAAGATCTCGTACATCTGGGGAGAGAAGTGCGCGAGCCACGGGGCTGCATCTCTCCTGGCGGCAGCCGAGACCCAGCTCGTCCCGTCCTCTGGGCACCGGCCCTCACCTGGCCGTCGGTGCACTGGCATCTGTCCTTGTACGCCATGAAGACCAGGAAGGAGTTCACACCTGGAGCAGAGGCAGGCAGGGGTGAGATGCTCGGCTGTCAAGGGTGATGCTGGGAGACCCCCTCCTCCCTCTTCTCCAGAGGGGCCAGGCGGGGTGACCTCTCCACAGCTGGCACGGTGGCTCTCGGGCACCATCCCACATACACTCACCGACAAGTGGTGATGCCCCCTCTTACCTGCTCCTCATGCCCTGGGGACCCAGGTTCCCCAGCAGCAAACACAGGTGAAACCCCTCACAAACCCCTCTCAGGACCCCCTGACCCCTCTCTAACTTCATTGAACTTTTGTCAAATCCATGATGAAACCTTGATGCGGTTTTAGCTTCAGGACTTTCAATAAAACAACTTAAGCCTTGATGACAGACTGGCCCGTCATCAGCAGAGCAGCACCTTCTCCTTCTAAAAGGGTCTTAACTCGTCAGGGAAATGAGTAGCAGTTCCCTCCACTCATGACCAAGAGGCCAGGGAAGTGTGGTGACCGCTGTGACCACTGTAACGAGGACAGTTACAGGATGCATCCCTCAGACCCTGGAGGCAGAGGACCCCGAGTCTGGATCCTTTCGAAGTAGAACAGACCCCCGAGTGACTCTTGCCCAACTTTCCCCAACTCCTGGCCACCTGGGGCCAGACGAAGGCAGAGCCCGGCACGATGGAGCCTGGGAAGGGGGCTTCCCACCGAGACCGCGAGGGGGCCGCCTGCCAGCCACCCTCAGCCCTGCGGGGCGCTCACCCTTGTCCTTGACCAGGGCCTCCAGCTCCTCCCTGATGCTCTCGTGCCAGCGGGGGATGTCCACGTGCAGGGAGTAGTCGCAGCACGCCCCGGCGTCCGCACGCTCCCGCCACTGCTCGTAGGCCGCCAGCAGGCTCACGCCGACGTCAGGGAACACGTGGTCCACTGTGGGGGCAGTGCAGTCACTGGAACGACCTTGACCTCCAAGAAGGTCATGTTACCAAAAGACCAGGAACAGAGGAGAGGCCACAGGCACCTTAACTGGGGGCTGACCCTGCTGTAAACCTGCCCATCGGTTCTGTCCAGAGAGGCATCGGCTGCACCTCCTCAGCCTCTCTCTCAGCTGAGGGACAAAGTCCGGGTTCAACCCACCTCGCTCCCCGATGCACACATCACAGCCCAAGAGCCTAAGTGACAGCCAAGGGCCCTAACCTCAACAGGGGCACAGCTGGAGGTGGGCAGGGAGGGCACAGCTGGAGGTGGGCAGGGAGGGCACAGCTGGAGGTAGGCAGGGAGGGCACAGCTGGAGGTGGGCAGGGAGGGCACAGCTGGAGGTGGGCAGGGAGGGCACAGCTGGAGGTTGGGCAGGGAGGGCACAGCTGGAGGTGGGCAGGGAGGGCACAGCTGGAGGTGGGCAGGGAGGGCACAGCTGGAGGTTGGGCAGGGAGGGCACAGCTGGAGGTGGGCAGGGAGGGCACAGCTGGAGGTTGGGCAGGGAGGGCACAGCTGGAGGTGGGCAGGGAGGGCACTGCTGTCCACGGTGCTGGACCTGGAAGCCCGCCCAGAGCAGCAGGGTGGGGCTGGGTTCCCTTGGGCCTTCCTAGCTGCACATACCTTAATCCACGCCACCCATCCCCCCCGGGGAATCTGGGGGTACACACAGCCACTGCACCGTCTCCACCCCTCACCTTCCAACCTCACATCCACAGTCCAGATCCTGCTCACAGCCTCCCCTGGGTGAGGGAGAGAGCTCAGATGCAGTGGCCAATAGGAAGGCACCCGCCCCAGGGGCACGGCAGACGCTGTGCCTTCTCTCCCGCACAGCCCTCCCGAGGGCTCCTACGCTCCCACAGCTCAGACGGAGAACAGGACCCCGCGGGCCGGTCACAGCTCCGGCCTGGTGCTGGCCGGTCGAGGAAGCAGATGGCTTGACAGAAGCCAGCCCCGTGCTGCAGCATCTCCCCGTCCTCCCAGTGACACCTCACAGCTTGTCTGATGCCTCGGCCTGGGCATGAGCAGGTGACGTCAACCGCGAAGGCGTCCTGGCTGGCCGGGGCCACCTGCGACTGGCATGAGCAACGGCCTGAAATGACCAGTCTTCTGAGTCAAACTCTAAGACGGGCCATCACGGGTTTCTTCACTCTGTGGTTGAGTAAACCCAGCCAAGCCATGATTTTGACAATGGCTACATGCACCTTGTGAAGCAGCCCGGTCCTCAGCGTGGCCTTTCCTGGTGGCAGCAGTCACGGCAGTCACTGACACTTACGGATTAGGAAACTTCAACTTGTAAACGCCGGCTGTTACCTGAGGTCTTGCGGCAAGAACACGGTGGAGCCAGGTTCAGCCTGGTTTGAGACCAGGTCTCCAGCAGGGCGGGCGCCCGAGGGCGGGGCTGCTGTCTCCTCCGGCTCCCGAGCCTACGGAGAGCAAGCTCACCACACGAGCTGTCACATGGGGCTCTTCCCCCAGGCTCCGAGGTTTCATGAGGTCGGTACAGACGCTGAAGTCGGCAGGTGCCCGTGCCTGGCACCGAGCCAGCTTAAAGAAATGGCGCCTCTGGCAGTGGTCGACAGGGTGGTGGTAAGTTTTTGTCATCCTTCTAAAAACATAGCACCCGTCGTCACCTCTTCTTGACACAGGCAGGAGCTTGCTGCAGCCCAAGCTTCAGAGGCGTGAGGTTCGGGGGCAAACGTGTCTGACCGTTCAGGTGACACAACCCCTCACTTGTCCAGAGCATCTGGGTTTTCCAAACCCGGTCCTTGGCCAGCCGCTGGCTTCCCAGGAAATCATAACTGATTGGGCACACGTCCACTGGCTCCCACGGAATCCCCGAGCGAGCCAGAGCTGGCCGGCAGAATGATCAGCATGGGAAATGGGATGACAAGGGCAGGTGCTCCAGGGCTTCGTAGATCGGGACATGATAGAGGGGAAGGGACTGAGGAAAACCCCGCCACGCAAACGCTTCCTGCACCACGCGCGTCTGGCCAGAGCACCGAGGTGGGGAACGGTGCTGCCCGACCTGGGGACACTCACGTATCATGGTGGTCCCTCCGGCAAGGGCTGCCTTAGTGCCCTGGCAGAAGTCGTCAGCCGGCGTCATTCCCAGGACAGGCATCTGCAGCCTCGTGTGGACGTCGACTCCTCCTGGAAGGACCATCAGGCCGTGGGCATCGATGGTTCTGATGCCCCCAGGGACGATGAGGTTTTCTCCAATTTGTCTGAAAGCCACAAAGAGAAATGTTGCTGGTTAGAGAGAGCCCAGGTCAGAACATAAACAGGCTCCCTGGCAATGCGATGGAGCCGGGAGGCCTGAGTTTGGGCTCCCATCCTTGAGGAAGGGGGCCACATGGCCAAGGCTAGACTGGACTCCTGGAGACTGTCAGAGAGCAAGACACCCTGTGAAGTGGCTCAAAGTGGCTGACGTGGAGGAGCCAGCCCTGGGAACACGTCACGGCCCTTGTGGTGTCCACCGAGGTGTCCACTTGCCCTTCACTGACTAGTGGCTGGAGATGCTTGACACAGACAAGCAGAGAAGCTGATAGGTGCGGTCAGTAAGTATTTATTAAGTACCTACTGTGAGCCCTGAATTGTACCAAGGCTGTGATGATGTGGGAAATGTGGAAACAGTGTCCTGCTTTCTGAGACCTTACGACTAGCTGGGGAGATTCCTCGCTCAAGGCCTGGGCTGGAACTGCTCGCAGGGAATGTGGCTTCAGAACAGAAAAAGCACGGACAGATTTCACGAGACGAAAGCCCCGGATAAGGTGCAGTCAGTGCGCACACTGTGACATGCGAAGGTACTTGCGGTGGAAACGTACTTTATCAAACCGTCTTCCACATACAAATCGGCGTAAAAGGACTGGTCATCGTTCACGACCTTTCCACCTTTGATCAGAAGACGGTCACTCTATTGAAAACAAAACAAAGAAAAAAATGGATAAGTTTTCTCCAAACTGTTACCCAACATCTTTGCTTCAACGTCTCACTCTGGATGTACGACTGAAACGTGAGGGCACAATCTGCACACGTGAGACCCAGCAAAGAGCCAGCAGCATTTTCCGTCTGAAGGGGTGGGCGGAGGCAGGCGCAGCCGGAGGCAGCCTACCCGCGCCTTAGGGCCCTGCACCCCCCTGCGCCCCCAGCACAGCCTCCCCACACCCCCCCAACCACAAGCATTGGCCCCCCACCTCCTCCTACTCTGTAGAGCTCCCCAACGGGCCCCACACAGCCTCCCCCTTCCCACACCCACACTGGTCAGCAGTCTGCCTTCCCCCAAAGATGAACAGGATGAACAGGAGAACTAGCTTCTCACTTTGTCAGGAAAAAGCCAACATTAGTGAGAGGGTTGCCGTGAAATGGGTTATACTTACATCTTCAAGTTTATCATCTAACTCAATACCCAGGCTGAGGACAGAGGTGAGCAGAGTCTCCCATGTCTGTGCTGGCCCGGAAGGTCTTCCCTCCCCCTCCCCCCACTGCCTCAGAAAAATCACACACAAGGCCATCAGACTGTGACAAACACAGGGGGACAAAGAGAATGACATGATGGATGACGGGGGAGGAGATGGGGCTGCTTCAGGGGCGGAGAAGGGCCTGTCTGAGGGGCTGAAGCTGGAGGCCACGCAGCCCATGCAAAGGCCCTGCAGCAGGAAAGAGCTTGAGTTCCCATAAAACAAGAGGAAGCTGGGGGCTGGAAACTTCAGAGGGGAGGCATGAGAGGCCCAGTTGGCAGGGGCGGTGCTGGCGGCCACTGCAGAGCCAGCCTGCAGCAGGGCTGAAGCATCTGATGGATGTTATAAAGAGATCACATTAGCTCTGCACAGAATGTAGATGGAGTTTAATGATGGAAACAGGACCATCGCTTGGGTGGTTTCTGAGGCTGTCCCAGTGAGAGGAGGGGCCTTGGACCAGGATGAGAGATGGACCCCAGAGAGGCTGCTGATGGACAGGTCGTGGGGGGGAAGGGCCAGGAAGGCATCAGGGTGACCCATCCTGCAGCCATCCCAAGTGTCAGGGCGCGATGCCAGCTCTCCATGGGTCCGCCCCACAGCTCGGAGCTGGGACACTGGGCAGGGGCGGATCCAGTGCCTGGCAGCCATAACCTGTCTAAGCATCGCACCACGGGAGAAAGCGTGGTGGGTTGTGATGGCCGTCAGGTGTGATGGTTGACCTCAGGGAGAATAACAGAGTGAAGAGCAAGGGCAGACTGATGTGAATGAGGGTCCAAGTCTGCGACACCTTTCCTCAAAGCTCCCTGTGGGAAAGACAGACTCACTTCAAGGGAGGTCTGCCCCTGGCGCCCACCCAGAGGCCAGGCCAAGGCCCCAGCCAGGGCTTCTGGCTCCCTAAACACGATCAGCCAAGAGGACCAAGCCACGCAGCGTGGTCAGTGAGAACTCCAAGAGCCCACCGAGATGGTAAAAATACATTACGTATGAGCCTCATTACCTTGTTCTCTATTCTTACTGACACCTAAGTGCCTGTATTCATTAATCAGAGGTAAAATCACCACCCTAGTCTACAAAAGGGCTGACAAACTCTGCCCCAGCCAAAGGCAACGCCTCCTCCTTATGCAGCCCAGATCTAAGAATAATCTTGCATTTTAATTGGCTGAATAACATCAAAAAATATTTCATGCTTTGTGAAAGTGATATGAAGCCCTGGCCGGTTTGGCTCAGCGGTTGGAGCGTCGGCCTGCGGACCAGAGTCCCAGGTTCGGTTCCCGCTAGGGAACCGAAATAGAAAAAAAAAAAAAAAGGTGATATGAAAATCACATATCACCCCTCTCCCCAGTTAGGAAGAGGTTTGTGCTCTGAGTTCCCTGCTCAACCCCCCTCCACACACACACACAACTTTGGACTCAGACTCTGGGAACCTTCCAGGGTTTTGAGCCAAGAGAGAAATGCAGCTGGGATGGGGTGCAATGGTCGGGATGGGGGTGGGTGGAAGCTCCCCTAAACCAGCTACATTGCCCAAGACCCACCTCTAGGAAGGGGTCTTCTTGCTACTCCCTCTTCAACCCCCACTCCTATCCTCCCCTCCTCCCCCAGCCAGCCAGCCCTTCAAGAGGGCTTCAGGCAGGACCCCCTCCTGTGTGGGAGGAGGGGGGCTCCTTTCTCTTAGAGTATCTAGGAAGTGAGCAGGCAAGCCCAGAGACCTCCACCGCCCTCCCACGGAGGCCAAGTCCAGAGTTGGGCTGGAAACCCCTAGACCCCCCCCCCCCCACCATACAGCTGGCGCCCAGGCGCCTGCCTGCCTGCCTGCCTGCCTGCCTGCCTCCCTCCCTCCCTCTCCCTCCCTCCCAGGGCTCCAGGCCCCTGGAGGGGCTCTTTGTCTCCAGGCAGTCAGGGGTGGACGGTCTGACCTCCAGAACCGAGCATGAGGGTATTAGGGGGTCTGTTCCCCCACAAGGGCTGGGGGTGCCTGCTCAGCAACTAGTGAGCTTGCTTTCCCCTGTGTCTATGAACCCTGGAACCATGAGTGGTCGGGGTTGAGTCGCTTTGTCTCAGAACAAGAGCTCCTGGCACGGCTGTACAGCCTGGGGGGCGGTTGGCCCCGGGGCAGGCTGCATAGGGGACAGCATCTCCACGCCCGGAGGCGGGCTGGCGGTGCCAACAAAGGGCTGTGTCCAACCGCCAACCCCGAGGTGGAATCCGAGACCGAATCCGCGGCCTCTCTGCACGGCCACCACTGGGAGGGAGGCGCATCTGCGCTTTGGAGAGCAGGGCCCGGCCCCGCGCCCTCCCCAAGCTCGGAGTCTCGGGAAGGCGGCAGGGCCCGGGGCCTGAGCGTTCGGCTCTGTGATGGGGTCGGCGAGGCTATTGAGGAGCCCCGGGCCCTGGCGGCGGGGGAAGGGCCACAGGTGAGACAGGGGCTTACGCGGGGGCTGGACCCGGAGGGCAGGGGGCCTGGCGCGGGCGGGAAGGTCCATCCCGGGGCCCAGGGGCCAAGCTCCGCCCGGGCGGTGGGCAGAGGGTGCTGGGTAGAGCAGGCCAGGAGCGGGTCTCACCGTGATCCGGGGGATGCTCTTCTTGCCTTGGAAGGACATTCTCCTTCTCGGGCGGGTCCGGCTTGGGGCTCCTGGGCGGGGGCCGCTCGAGTCGTGCTTGGGGACGCGCAGAGCCCGCGTGGACGTGGGGGCGCAGGGTGTCGGAGTAAGTGTGCGCCAGGCCTCGCTGCTCCCGTTCCCCGCCCCGCCCTCGGCCAGGCCCCGCCCCCGGCCCGTGGCTGCTTATTCGCATTTAAGCCCCGCCTCTGCCGAGCACAGTTCCCTCCCTCCTGCCCCCCAACTCCCTGGCCCTAGGCCCCAGTTCTGGCCACAGGCCCTGCCCCAGCAGACCCGCGGACCGGCGGAGGTGCTGGGTGCAGAGTCAGAGAGGGTTGCAACCGACTCTGGCCCGTGTATGTTTGAAGTCTGAGCCCCTAAGGAGGGTGGGGGAGGTCAGCCAGCGTTTTGCCACACCAGCCAAGGGCCCACCGCCAACTCCCTGGTGACCTGAGGCACCCAAGGCCGCAGGGACGGAACCCAATCTCAAGTTCAGGCCCAGGAGCTCCGGGAGCCTGACTCCGTCCGGAAAGGTGTCTGCGACCAAAGCCGAGCACCTTCAAAAATAACCCGGACGGGGGTCGGAGAGCTGGATTGTACACTGGCCTGGGGATCCCCAGTGGCGACACCTCCCAGCTGGCCAGGTCCACGAAGTTTGGGGGCAGGAGGGAGGGAACAAGTTGGAGAGAAACACAGAAAGAAAGAGACAGCAAGACCTAGAGAGACACGGAGAACGAGACAGGTACCCAGAGCCAAGGATGGACCAGAGACCCAGAACCAGGGCATAAGAGGCCAAGATCTTGGACGGGGCTTGAGGGTTGGGGGCGAGAAACGCGAGAGAGAAGCCCAGACCCTGATTCAGGCAGTCGGGTGGAGGCCCTCCTGTCCCTCTGAGAGCTGAGCGGCTGAGAAGAGGAGCTCTCGCCCGGGCCTCGCAGCCTCCCGCCGTGGGGGTGGCGCCTCTAGGAGTCTGGGGCTCAGACCCCCTCGCACTGGCCCCGTCGCCACGGCCTCTGCCTTGCGACCACTACCTGCAGTGGGCCGCGGGCCTGGGCTGCGTAGGGCCGCTCTGGTGCACTTGCTGCTGCCTCCCGACTCTCTTCGCCTGGTTCTCTGGGTCCCTCCATGTCGCGTGACCCGCTGTAGGACTCTCCGGCCCGAGGGCCCCGGCGGCTGCCACCCAGCGCTTCCAGCTGCAGCGTCTTGTTTTCAAAGGCGTCCTTCAGGCTGAGGAAGACCCCGCCGAGCTTGGGCCTGGACCCAGGGCTGGCTGCGCCCAGCGTCCCCAGGCCCGCGGGCAGAGGCTCCGCGGGCTCCTGTGGCCGGCTGGTGGCCATGGCGGGAGCGGGGAAGTGGCAGTGGTCCCGGAGCCTCCTGCTGCGGGGTCTGGGCTCTGCGTGTGGACTGGGCGGACCTGGGCTCCTGCTCTCCCCGCCCCCACCCTCAGCCCCGGTCCACGGGTCAGCACAGAGCTGGCGCTGTCCACGTAGCGAGTGCTGAACGCGCCTGGTCTGGCCCCAGAGCGCGCGGTCCGTCCCAGAAAAGCGTGGCTGCTCGCCTAGGGCGCGCGTGGGTTCCCACTTCCCACTCCACCCATTGGAAGGGCGAGCGAGGTGCAGGCATAGAAGAAACCACGGTCTACTGGAATCCCAGTCGCGTTTCTAGCCTGGGGCGGGGGGAATCCCAGGCTAGGCAAGGAGGCTCTGACTTCAAACATTTCCAAGTGGGGGGGGGGGGGGGGGGGATGGGCCCAAGCGAGCTGCTCCTGACCACTCTCAATGCCAAGTTCAAGGTGTCGGGGAGGGACTCAGCTCGCCCAGGGTCACAGGGCGATGGTGTCACTCTGTGGAGCCCTGCAGATTGATTTTTAAAGAAAAGATGTCCAGCCTTTGCATTCTGTTCGCGAAGCCAGCATCCGAGAGCATAAATTCAGGCAATGAGAGTCGCTGCAGGACACTGAAGTACTTGACCGAGCACCCTGTGGGGCAGAAGCATGTTGGCAGCGCTAGGTCAGCACTCTCCCATCCCCTCCACTCTCCTGGTCTCCTCTCCCCAAAGTGATCAATAAAGTGTCCTTTACTCACCTGTGTGCAACACAAATCTGCTGCCAGGTGTTCTCATTCATTTACAGAAATTCTTCCACTTCTCCTAATTATTTGAATTTTCTCTCCAGGTTCTCATTTGACAAACGGCTACAAGAGGAGGCCTTTCTGGTGGTTGACATCGACAGGTGCTGCCCGTTGCCTGTGATTTCAGATCCCGTCCTCCGGGTGATTTTCCAGGACTTAGGATAGGCTGCAGGTGGAATGCCTGCTGCCCCTCCCCAGTGCGCAGAAGGCCCAGGCTCCCTTCTTGGAGTGGAAAGAGGTATCATCATTCAGAATGGACACAGAACACAGAAGTGGCTAACATAGCCAAACTTTAATAGCTTGTGAGGAGGAGAACATTGATATTCTAAGACTTATAACAATTTTTATTAAAACTGTACAATAAATTACAAATGAGTAGAAATTCTCTGATATACACCGTAGGAATCACAATACAAAAATAAGTGTAAAATTTTGTGGTTGATCACCATACAAACCTACGTCAGGCCTGTGAATACTGTTTAGCACTGAACAGATCACGTTTAGAATGTGTTATTGAGGAGTTTTTCAGGGAATGCAAATACTAGCTGGCACAGTGCCATGAGGAAACAAGTCCTAATTGGTTTTTGCATAAATTTACAATAAAGCTTTTAAAAAATATACAGTAAACAAATATATGATTTGATACATATATTTACAACTTGATTTCCTGAGCCTAAACGTAAGTCCATTACTGTGTTAAAACACACAGCCCACCTTAAGGTTTTGATGATGGGGTGATGGGAAATTTAGGGTAACGTGACGGTGCATCAAACCCACACCCGCACACCCTCCTTCCTGACCTCCAGGGTTGGTGTTCACAAGCCTTGTAAGGCACGTGGGGTGTCCTGAAGGCTCGGGGTTCCGCACGAGCAGAGCACTTCAAGGAAGTGCCACAATCCTTCAACAGCTGGCACCCCAGACCGTGGAAACGAGGTGCACACACATCTGTGTCAGCAAGGAAGCCGCGATTCACGTGGGTCTCTGGTCTAGACAAACGAAACAGTGTGCTGTTCTGGGGGTGCGCACATAGCGCAACGTGTGCGAGCTGGTATGCCGCATACATGTCAATGTCTTGGTGACACAGTCAGCATTTCTGGCAACATGTCGGGGCCCCTCCTCTCGGTCCACTGCAGAGCGATGCGTTTCCACACAGACTCCCCATTTGAAGAGCCCACTGATCTTGAATGAAAGGTATACTGAAGGACTTAGAAAAATGCACCTCATTTAAAATACTTCAATTCTTCGGATGCTCACTGGACCAGCAGGAGTCAGTCACAAATGCCCCTATTTTGTCTTTTTGGCAAAAACCCAGTCCCGAAATGCTGGGTTTTGTAGTCAGATGGAAACAGGTACCTCTGCCACACGCCACAAGCAATGATTTCTAACGAGAAAAATGGACACCACAACCAGGCGTGTGCTTTCATGGAGACGGTAGGGATGCAAATGTGGTCTGGTGCTTGGAGTAGTATTTAAAACATTCGCTGAGCTGTTTCCCCTTTCCCATGTGCACACTTTTCACATATAAACAGTAACGACTTTGTAGCATCGGCGCATACTCACATGTTTGTCTCTCCTGTATAGTGTGCCCTTTTGAAAATTACAAGCTGATTAAGACAGTCCAAGTTGACAGGGATGAGACTTTGGGTTTCAAATGCATATCTTCAGATCCTGACTGGCCCCCTGCTTGACTGCGGCTCCTGTGCAGGTGTGCACGGGGCGGGACCCCTCGGAGTCGTGCCTGGGCTTCTAGGGTGTCCCTGGATGCCTGGGTCACACAGTCCCTCTCGCTTTGATCTGTTCATCCGTAAGCAGGTGGAGGCTTTTATTAATGCCAGAGTACTGCTGCCATTCAGTTCTGAGCACAACAAATAGGCCAGGACGGGACAGTCGTGAGGACGAGACAAAACCGCACGGAGGATCCAACAAGATTTCTGATGTGAGAAACAAACCCCAACACCAGGCTCAGCTAGAGAGGCAGTGAACCGGCCCAGGTCTTGTCCAAGTGAATAAGTAAGAGTGGCCTTAATGACAACAAAGGCAGGTCCTTCTTGCAGAGTGCGTTGCGCAGCGGAACCCTGGCCTCCCGCAGAAAAGCGCACCTATCTGATCCAATAATCTTCTCTCGGTTTCACCCTAGGGCATCGGCTGCCACTGTCGTCCACACCAGCGTTGAACACTTGTTCCGACACTAATATACAATGAACCTAACCCTTGCAGACAATGCAGTCACCCTCCCTCCAGGCTCTCGGCGATGCCATTTGTTTTCCTTTCTGCAACATTGTGAGTTACCTTCTCTCCCGGTCCACAGCTAGCTGCCCAGTGTGTCGACTTCTAAGAGCCCCAAAGAGCTAAATTCCTGTGCATGGTTTTCTGGTAGAGCATGTTTGTACATGCACACACACACGTACACGCACACAGACAACATGCGGCTCGCAACTTCCTCAGCACTGAGAGCAACAACCTTAGACCCTGCAGGTGTGAGGTCCACAGAAGATGTGCTGGACGTCAGGCTGCATCCAAGCGCTGGGAGCGTCCCCGGGCCTCGGCGGGAAGGGAAATCACACTAAAACTGGTTTCACCGTGTGCGGTTTCCTCTGAAAAAGAGTGAAGACAACAGCTTTGTGTTAGTGTGAGACGTCCGAGAAGTTCGTGGGGCCACACGCAGTGGGGAAGGTCTGGAGAAGCACCTTGGGGCCATATTTCAGCCTCTGCCCAGGAGATGCAAGCGACCCTTCCCTGGGGGTCACGGGGTCACAGTGGTGGGTCCACGCGTTCCACGCATGGAGCCACGTGTAGAAGTGGCCTCGCTCTTCCTCAAAATGCCCGGGGCAGCTGCCCACGCTCCTTCCCGACTTCCATTTCTTCTCATAACTTAGCAAGGGGTTCTGTCAGGTCGCAACTCTTCCCCATCCCCTCACACATTTGTAATGTTTGGGACAAGTTAGGAAGGGCCTCTAACAAGGACA